GCGGGAAGCCTGCTTCTCCCTCTCCCACTCCCCCTGCTTGTGTTCCCTCTCTCGCTGTGTCTCTCTCTCTCTGTCAAATAAATAAATAAATAAATAATCTTAAAAAAAAAAATCTTCATTGTAGCCAGATGAAATAGGATGTATTAATCAATTCTTGCAAGTTATTCCTTTGAGTGCCTTTCTACTCTAAAATACTTTTTTTTTCAGTTGATTTATTATAAGATCTCACAGATGCATTATAAGATGTGACAGAAATGACACTTATTTAGAGGAAGTATAGTCAGACTCACCTGTTGACAGTGATAAAAAAAAAAATCCTTGAAAGCTCACTGGAAAAATACAAACTGTTCAGAGTTTATAATGATTGTAATGAAAGTTACATTGCTCTACATTTGTGGCATATTTGTGCATTCGTGTTTGGTATTGTTAAAGTGTTTTTAGAAGTCACGCAGTGTTTAGAGTAATACAATTCAATCATTAAGATAATTTATATTACATATTAGCAATGTGACTAAAATATGGGGGTGGCTGCAGGGTCACATGTAATCAATATCACGAGCATGTATTTATTTAAAAAAAAAAAAACAACAACAATTGATTTGAAGTTTAGAGCAGCCTAAAATAAGAGTGTGTTCTTTGTTGTATTAATTCATTGTTATTAAATGTTTAATGTTCTGTGTTCTCTAGGGTTAAGTAGTTTAAAAAAATATTGTTATTTTCCTGGAAAAATACCAAAATTTGTATCTGGCTTAACATATCTGACCTTAGCCTCTTCAGAGGAAGTGAACACATGTTCTATGAGTAATCCCCTAGATAAATCAGCAGCCAAACAAAGGAGCAGTAAGATCAAATTCAAGTGTTTCTTTGCCACTGAAATAAAACTGAAATTCAAAAATTACATTAACAGGCTTCTGTCTTTTATGGTCAGTTATATTTTGGTGGAGACCATCTAGAGGAGGAGGAGGAGGAGAAGCTGACAGTGATGATGGTGTTGATGGTGTTGGAGAAGGAGAAAGATTTGGTGATGTTGGAGTTAATGGTGAGGGTGCATGGATTGGTCCTAGGATAACCATTGTGAAAGTTATTTTTCCTGTCATAGTTATGCTGTCTTTGTCAATTCTGCCTTGTGAAAATGAATAACGGTAGGTGGTGTTGCCTGGTCACAGGTCATTATTTTTTCCAAAGCATACAAAGATAAGCAGAAAATTTGGAGACTTAACTCCTGACCTTATTAGCACCCTTTTTCAAACCCTAATTTTAAGAGCTGTTGACCCAGAAAAAAAATTACTCCAGGGCTGTAGACTAATAGAAAGGACATTTTCTTTCCTTTAACTTCCATTTACTTGTTTTAAAAATTGGGAAGTGAGACTCAAACTCTTTAGTATAACTGCTGACCATGGGAGGAAAGTATTCCTTAGGCTGTACCCTAAGTGGACAGAACAGCATTATTCTTCAGGCCAAAGGAAACCTGGCCAAGAACTCACTCAGATCTTCTGTCTCAGATGTCCTGGCCTTTACTGTAGGTCAGCCTTCTCAACCTCAGTACTATTGACGTTTAAGATCGATCATTCTTTATTCTGGGGGTGCTGTCCTGTGCACAATGTAGGATGTTTAGCAGCATTCCTGACTTCCATCCACCAGATGCCAGTAGTAGCCCACCCCCTCAATTGTGACAACCAACCAAATCTATCTCCAGACATTGCCAAATGGGAGGTAAAATTGCTCCCATGGGAGCTTCCGCATCTCCCACATTTGAGTACCACTGTCTAAGTGTATTAGGTGATTAGCTGATAAAGAATTTTCTCCAGATTTTAGTTTTACTTTTAGATACTTTGTCATTTTAAGCATTGGTACAGAATAGGATTTGCTTTTAAGAACTGAAAAACTGGAAGCACATTTTCTAATTTAAGGGTAAAAGTGAGGACAAGGTCTTCTTTGAGAGTTCAACATTATGACCTTTGGATGCCTAGTACAGTGTTTTCCAGAGGGCTGGTGGGGACCCTTTAGTGGGTCGGGATTATACATGCAGCAGTGTATGGGATCACAGTGTAAAATGTATTTCTTACTTTGGAATAACTGAGAAAAACATTTGAAAACTGCTGGCCTAGTGATGATGTATAAGCCCAGCCTCCCCTTTCAAACTGTAATATTCTAAACATATTCTTCATAGCAGTAGGTGTTTATCCAGGCCAGCTAATCTATTTATCTTGTCAGGTTAGACTTATCAAATAGTCTTGGAAGTATGAAACATTCAAACTTGTTCATTGTAGTAGTAGATTTGAGACTTTCTTTTAACTTTGGTTTCTGGTGCATACCATCTTTTTTGCTAGGGGGAGGAAGCTCTGAGCTCCATCACATATTTTAGAACATTCTTGGCACGTTACTTGTGGACTGTTCATGCCCTCCCCCTACACAAGATACTGAAAAAAGACAGCTCCATTTTAATTGTTTTCTTCATCAGCATGCATGCAAAAGTCCTGTTTTTCATCAGTTAGTATTTATTTTGTTAACTTGTAGAAATTATGCTTTATGGAGGAAAGGGCAAGAAACATTTGTGTATTTATTGACAGTCAAATATGAGCATAAAGATGTCTAAAAATTACTCCTAACACTGCTTGTACTCTTTTTGTAAAATTCATTTTAAAATGGCAACCTTAAGTTAAATAGTGGCCCGTGGGGACTGTATTAGATGGGACAGTCTGCCATTACTAAGTCATGAATTCAGCTGTTAATGGGAAATTCTTGGGTTCCTGAAATCTATCAGCACTTCTGGCCACTTAAAAAGCTGCTTTAGTTTCTATTCACTAAAGAAAATACATTTATATTTTGAGTTATTTTATTTATTCAGTGGCTACTTTTCAAAGATTTAAACATTCCAGAAAGCACATTTTCATCTTTTTAATAGTAAGAGAACATTTCAGACTAGTTTCATAGTGTTAGAAGTTTTGTCTTAGGGGATAGTATTTTTCTCTAAGGAAAAATTTTAATGATTATTCAAAAGTTATTTTTATTACAATTCATTTGTGTTCACAGTGAAGGCTTTTATATCCCTGTGTTTCTAATTTAGATGATATTCAGTAGAGATATTCAAGGTATTTTCATCATAGTTTCAGGGAAAATTTGAGTGGTTTTTTTTTTTTCTTCTGAGTTGTATAACACTTAAATTTTATATTTGCAGAAGATCAGTGGGTGTATCACAAAAACTCGCATGTTTATTTCATGGTGCCTTTATATATTATTGAGTGACTATGCCTAATTTCTATGTGTAGAATGAAAGCAGGTGTAGAGATAGCAATGTTGCTCAAAAGCTGAACTTTATCGATGTTTGTTTAGGAAGCTAGATTGCTAGTATTGACCTTTAAAAGTGGGCCAACAATATTAGTAGGGATTTGAGAATAAAATTTCTTGATCAGAAAAGGATATGAAGTATTATCATAAGGTAGGTAAATAGTTTTTCCTTTATTAAAGTGAGTTTTGAGACTGGTTTGAAATTACTTTTTCGTTGGTTCATGTACAGTTCCTTATACATCCAATTAGTAACTATTTTGCAAATACTTTCTAGATTATTAACTTCTTATTCACAGGCTTTTAAAGTTTTCATTCATCTGTTCTAGTAAATGGTATCAACACTGAACTGTTCTTAAAAATAATAATATAATAGAAAATCCTTTTACAGCTATCTGTATCCATATTGACTTTAAAACTCAGCACTGTCACTTTTGATAGTTTTTTTGTGTAAGTACTGAACTATTCCAGAGGTGATTATAAATGGCTGTCTTGAAGGAAGAAAATACTATCATTTTAGTACAGTGTCGTCTTCTTTTTAGAAAGAGATTCATTTGAATCCCATCATTAAGGAATGTTACATGGTACGGTTGGAGCAGCAGCTGAAACTTCTCAACACTGCATCCTCTTCTAGGTGCTCAAACACCAGATTTTATGATAAAAGGAGGATGCAAACAATACTATGTTAAGTTCCCTGAGTTCCCACAGTGAAGGAATTCTGGAACAGATAATGCTGCTACCAAGATATGAAAGTTATTTTTCCTAATCTTTACTAAGTCATTAAACTGTTATTTTTTTTCCTTGTCATTCTATAGGGAAAAAATGAGGTTTTTGGAGGACTATTAAAAAGTCAAATTTCAATAGAATGTAAAATTAGTAAAATTAAATTTCATTAAATATGGCTTTAATGCCTTCAAGAGTGAATGCCTTGAAATACTGTAATATGGTCAGTAATCTGTGCAACGTGTAAAGTGTTTTTAGATATCCTCCTACTTTTCACAGATTTTAGAAGGGTTTGTGATAAATGGATGAAGCTGATCACATACTTTTATTTTTATAGTTTACATTTACTTTGAACAATTACTATGAACTGACACTCTTTTAAAGATTGGATTTATTATGCTATGTATATAAATTTATTGCTAAGCTATGTTTACCTCGGTTTATTGAGGTGGAAAGCTCTTTGAACTCATAAGGGCAATCATTGATTATTCTGACCGTACCTGGTTTCTTTTGGTTCCTATGAGCAGATATACTAAACTCTGCCTTCCTTTCTATCTTGTGTAAGGAAAGTGTTGGTGGTATAAAACATCTGTCATACATATTTTAAAATTTTCACCAAAAAAATCCTGATTATTTATAATGTTAAAGATGTAATAATAATTTATCGTTCTTTTAACTTTTTTTTTTTTTTTAAGGTGATGGATGTGGACATACTGTACTAGGCCCTGAAAGTGGAACCCTCACGTCCATAAACTACCCACAGACCTATCCCAACAGCACCGTTTGCGAATGGGAGATCCGTGTAAAGATGGGGGAGAGAGTGCGCATCAAATTTGGTGACTTTGACATTGAAGATTCTGACTCTTGCCACTTTAATTACTTGAGAATTTATAATGGCATTGGAGTTAGCAGAACTGAAATAGGTAGGAAATTTTCTTGTAAATGTACCTGTAATACATCACTGCCCTGAGTTTTAAAACTAAAACAATTTTTGGTACTTACATTAAATAACTAGACTATATAGGATGATAGGTAGGAAATTATTTTGTGGATTATATGTGGAAATCTCAAATTTGAATCTTTTGGGAAGAGAAGATTCTTATCTGTCCAAAGAAGCTTGTTGGTACTTTTGCAACAAGATGCCACTCTACTGCTTCTAAGAAGGAGGATGTTAAGTATCTCATTTTTTTGTTTTTTTTGTAATCATTTTATTTGCAATTAAAGAATATAATTCATGCTTAGGAGGCAGTATATCATGGTAATTAAAAGCATAGGTTTTGGATACAAAGTGCCTGGTATCAAATCCTCACTCCGCTCTTAGCTTATGTGTGATTTTGGGCAAGTCACCCGACCTGTTTTTTCACTTGTAAGATAGGGAATGAACTAGTAACATGTAAAGTGCTTAGAATAGTCCATAACACATAATATATGCTTACTAATACTAGCTGCTGTTGTTGTTATTCTTAGCTAAGATTAGCGGTTCTCAGTTATGGCTGCATGTTAGAGTCACCTGGAAAGATTTTTTTTTTTTTTAAAGATTTTATTTATTTATTTGAGAGAGAGTGTGTGCACATGCACGAG